TTATTTTAATATTTTTTATAAATAAATAAATATATATAGAAGTTAAAAAGACTAAAATTAATCCACAAACCTTCTTCTTCTCCTTACAGTCTCCTATCAGGGGTTATAAAAATAAGGCTCGTAAAGGATCCGTCGTATTAAAGCCCGGTCAGAAACCTGCTATCAGGGCCATATGTAACACGACGTTACATTTTTGATCAGGGCGTTGTCAGGCTGTCTTAACAAGATCTTATCAGGCAACAGAACAAAACCTAACGCGCCCTCCTTAGGGCCGTGTTTGATTTTCTACTCGGGATGTAGTGGAAGTTACTTGATGCTCGACTACAGTTTTTATAAAATCTAAGTTTGTGCAAAGAACCAAAAAATTTTCAAGCATCACGTTTTACATTATTATAAAGAATATACTATATATTTCATACCAATTTTTTATATTCTTTAAATGATCATTCTCGTTGCGTTTTCTTTTTTGCTCTGTCTTTCTGTCTGTCTCTCTCTCACTCTCTCTTTTGCACTTTCTCTCTCTCACTCTTTCTCACTCTCTCTTACTCTATTTTACTCTCTCTCACGCTCCCTCCCACTCTTTCGCACTATCTCTTGCAATCTCTTTCACTCTCTCTTGCACACTCTCTTATTGTCTCACACTCTCTTTTACACTTTGTCTCACTCTCTTTTACTTACTCTCTTTCTCTCTCTCCCACTGTCTTTCACTCTTTCTATTTCTTTCTTTTACTCTATTTCTCTTTCTTTTTTATTGTTTTTCATTCTATCACTTTCTCTTTCATTTTTTCTAATACTTTCTTTCACTTTTTCTGATTGTTTCTCCCATTCTCTTCCACTTTCTCTCACTCTCTCTCACTCTCTCTCCCATTCTCTCTTTCCTACTTTCCCTTACTTTTCTTTACTCTCTCTTATTCTCTCTTCCACTGTCTTACTTTGTTTCTTATTCTCTTTCACTCTCTCTCACTCTTTCCCACTTTCTCTCACTCACTCTCTCTCTATTTTTTTCTCTCAGCACATTATAATTCTCTTCCTTATCTTTCGTTCAACGTGCGCATGTCGGCATCTCTTGGAAGCAGTAGTACTAATGCACACATTCCTTCCACATTAGAGACAAGATCCGAACATGATAAAATTGTATATATTTTAAAGAAAATTTTTAATATCGTCGAACAGAAGACACAACCAAAAATCACAAACAATTTTTTTTATTTTTGTAATCCGAATCGATTGAGACTTAAAAAATAGTCAAGCGATTCATTTGTTAGTGAGATATGTATATTTTATATTTCACAATTTCTTTCAAAAAGCGATTTTTGCGTCTAATAGGCACAATGCGCATCGCGCTGTTCGCGCCACTTCGTTGCGCGTGAACTTGGCGCGAGGCACTACCGTGTCTCTTGATCAGTAATCACGTCGATATTATCGATTGCGCTGTGTCGATAATATATGGATCGGATCTCGGGCCGTTAGCGGAGACCGGCGCGCGCATATATGTAATACTTCTATATTGCTAATACGGTGCCGACCTGAAGCCCAAATGTTACGGTGCAGACAATATAGCAGCCTCTCTCTCGCGCAAGATCCAGCTGCTTTGTGCGCATGCGGTAAACATTCAATCACGCTTGGGCATTTTTCTTTCTCTCGTTTTCTCACTTTCCAATGCTTTGTCTCGCTCGCACTCGCTTAGTAGACGCGCCTGCGCATAATGACGCTCGACTATCTATGTCTATATTTGGATTTTGTGCGTCTCTTTTTCTCGGGCCTCGTGCTTCTCATTGCAAAGATACGCGACAAGCAATATAGAAGTATTACATATATGGGCGCGCGGTAGTAGGGACAGCCGGAAGAGAAATACTTCTCCTCACGCGATACGGTGCACTCTTCTGTTCAGTGATATTAATATTGGGTAATTGAAGAGACCAATCTAGTAGC